AAATTTCAATCATTTAAAAAAAAATTCAAGACAACATTTAAATATATTTACAATAATAATGTATATAATAATGTATCAACATTATTATTGTAAACATTAATTTTATAAGATTATATTTACATAAGGTATATAGAATCCAACAAAATTCAAATTAATTCTTATTCAGCTCTAAAGCAGCATGCAGAAGTTATTATCAAATTAAATTTTTTCTGAATAAAAGAGTTAAACTCAATATTGAGCAAACTCTTTGTCGCATTTTAACCTTTTCAATGTAAGTATAAATCTAAAATGAAATCTTCACACTGCTTAACAAATAGAGCGGTCTCTGTGACTAGCAATGTTTTAATAATTATAATAGTATATTATTATAATTTGATAATAATATTATTAATTTTTTTATTTTTGATAATAAAAATAATAATAATAACAATAAAAAAATCAATAATACTTATAATAATGAAAATAATAATAATATTAGTTATAAAAATAATAATATCACATCATTATTACACTCAGCCTGCAAAAAACTTCGAACAAAAATTAGTTAATAAAAAAACTAACTTGAATTCCCATTGATAACAAACAAATTTTTTATTAAACCATTTTGAGCCTCTGACCATGGATTTGAAGCATATACTTTGACATTAACAAAGCTATTAGCTTGATGGTTTATAATAGAAAAAACAACATCTTCATTTATAATGATTGTGTATATATAAAATGAGCCATTGAAAACTTGAGATATTACAATATTAGACCAATAATTTACTTCAAATGCATTTGTTGAAAAAGTATGTACATCTACATATCCATTAATTGAAGATGCAATGTCAAGAACACCATTACCTTGCGCATTTGACCAGATTCCTGGTGTTTTATCACCATAATTAAAATGATCAGAACCAATAGTGAAATGAATAACATTGTGTGAACCAAAATCAAATTTAATAGCATTAAAATCAAGTGAAACAAAGTATTCTTTATCTAGGACTGGAATCTCAGCAATTAACTTCCCTTTTACTAATGGAGTAATAGTGTTGCCAATAATGTACTCTAAAAACAAACAATAAGATTATTAATATAAAAACAATAATCTATAGATAAAAAATTCCAAATATTTAATTGTACATATTTATTATATATATATATACATATATATATATATATATATATATATATATATATATATATATATATATATATATATATATATATATATATATATATATATATATACATATATATATATATATATATACATATATATATATATATATATACATATATATATATATATATATATATATATATATATATATATATATATATAATATATATATATATATATATATATATATATATATATATATATATATATATATATATATATATATATCTTAGTGTATTCTACAAATAGAGTTCTCAATGTTTTTAAAGAACAGAGCAATAATAAATTTGTAAAAAGACTTGCCTAATTTTCTTCAGAAGATAATTACATAAGTGTTTTTACTAATTTATATATATATATATATATATATATATATATATATATATATATATATATATATATATATATATATATATATATATATATATATACATATATATATATATATATATATATATATATATATATATATATATATATATATATATATATATATATATATATATATATATATATATATATACTCAATCTCTGATCATGGATTCTCTATCAGATGCATAAATAACATTTCTTTTTAAATATAATGTTTGGAATTGTATTTATGGAAACACATTTTTCAAGGTTTTCTTTGCATATTTTGGTAAGTTTATAATCATTTAATGTGGATTGTCAAAACTATTTTTGTGCAACATTATTTTCCTTAACATTTTACATCCTGCATGATATTGAAAGCAAGTTGTCATTTTAAAAATATTTTTTTTTGTTATATTTATGTTATGACAAATGAGCCATCGTTCATACCAACTATTTGCCACTGTTCCTACTTACTTAACTGTTCCTACGCTTATTGCTTTTTGACCCAGTTTTTATGTTTCTAACTTAATTTTAATTATTAAGTAATTTGGTTTTATTGTAATAAATTGGTTCCTTTGTATTAAGATTTAATTGGTTCAACTGCATTTGATTTCTATTGAACTAAAATATTTACAGTGAGTTAATTCTCATAAATGTTGTTGTTTTTTCTTTATTTTAATTTTATATATATATATATATATATATATATATATATATATATATATATATATATATATATATATATATATATATATATATATATATATATATATATATATATATATATATATATATAGTTTAATTTTGTTGTTGCTGAATATATATTCAGCAAGAGTGCTCAATGAATGATATCAGAGCTATATAATTGATTTTTTGATGAGATTAAAAAAACAACTACATAATTTTTACTACTAAAAGTTTCATGCGTTTAGCAATCATCAGGTAGTGATGATTGCTAAACGCATGAAACGCATTTTTGGTGCAGCTGTAACTCACTTTGATGGTGTTTCGATTGAATAGTTTACTAAGAAGGTGGGATGTTGGAAAATTTTTCTTGATTAAGTTTAGGAAGATATGATCAACATTGGTAGAAACGTTTTTAACATACCGGGGTTGAACCATATTATATTTCTTTTTCTTTTTTTTTTTTCTCTTTTTTGGGGATTATACTTTAAATTAAAACCAGTGAAGCCATTTCTTCTTAATTCATCTTGGTATTCTGGTATAGATATATTAAATGTTTTTTCATTTGAGGAATTTTGTGATAATCTGTCATTGATAGAGATAGGAATTTGCATTATTATTTGCGGAAGATGGTTGAAATCAGTGTGGATGTAAAGTAGATGTTCATTTGGTTTTTGAAAGGTTGGTAGGAGTTTATTTCTAAGTTAAAGGAGACATCTAAGTAGTTGATTGCGAGTAGGTTTGTTTGGATCCCTATTTTAAATATTCTATGTTTTTTTGTAGACTATTAATTTGTGATCCAGCTTTTTTACAAAGTACTATCAAACCATCATCACAATATAGTCTAACGTCTTCTATTCACAATGCAGAAGTTTGTGAACTGACCCACCAGATCACAAACTTCTGCATCATCAAAACAACCCATTGTAACATTAAAGCAGTCGTGTGCTAAGTTTTTCTTCCATGTTTTGTTGTTAAAAAATTGCAAGGACTTTCTGCAATGTTTTATGATTCTGATGTTCTTCTCACTAATACTTGTTTGTTTTTTTGCAAACAGTATTGCATTACTTAGTATTTTTGATGTAATAGTAAGGTAAAAATGTCAAGTTGAATAAAAAGACAATGTTGTTTTTCTAGTATATTTGTAAACCATTTGATTGCATCAGTGGTATTTTTCCATTGGTTTAAACTATTATACGTAACAATGCTATTACAGAGTATATTTTTTAACCTAAATATATATATATATATATTTACGTAATGTAAATAAATATATATATATATATATATATATATTATATATATATATATATATATATATATATATATATATATATATATATATATATATTATATTATATATAATGTCAATTTAATTTAAATATATATATATATATATATATATATATATATATATATATATATATATATATATATATATATATATATATATATATATATATATATATATATATATATATATATATATATATTAAAGAAAAACAAGTTAAGCTAAAAAATTTTAAAAGTAAAATAAATTAAATTGCTTAAATTGCTTTCAAACAGAAAGATTTTATAAAAAATTTTTTACCAACTTTTCCATTAATTATCAGAAGATCAGATATTGAACCATTTTGTGGAGCATCCCATATATTAGAACCATAAACTTTAACATCTTTAAAATCTGCAGCCAAAAAATTTTCTACTCTATGAATACTAAAATTATTCAGATCAACAGTAAAGATATATTTTTTTCCCAGCAACCATTGACTTATTCTGATATTATGCCACTGACCTAATGTAAGTGGATCTGTTTTGACAGCGTAGTTACTATTACCATTAACTGCAGCATAAATAAAAAGACTACCAGAACCATCTTCATGAAACCACAGACCTAGATTTCTGTCACCATTTATTTCACTGTTATTACACAAGGTTAAATGAAGAACATTTTTTAAACCCTTAGAATAACTCATTGGCTTCAAATTAAACGAAATTGTAAACTCCTTTTTCAAAACACTTAGTGTTCCAAGAATTGTTCCTTGATTTAAAGCAAACTCATGTTTAAGATTAACATAATCTAAACAATATCAAGATAAAACTATTTAAATACAATATAATAATTATTTTATACTGTTGTATAATTGTAAAATAAATACAAAGAACTGCTATATTTATTTATATAACTATATAAAAATATATTGTTTACAAAGTGAAGATGTTTCAAGTCAGCTTATATATATATATATATATATATATATTATATATATATATATATATATATATATATATATATATATATATATATATATATATATACATATATATATATATATATATATATATATATATATATATATATATATATATATATATATATATATATATATATATATATATATTTACATATTGTCATTGCGTAGGCAATACCAATCATGTGATCAATTCCAAAGTTTACAAGAGGAAGAAAAAACTTAATCACAGAAGCATTTTTCATTCCAAAGGCAAGTAAGTTGCTTTCTTATATGTGAAACATGTATTATAACACTATTATGTAAAATAAATTTAAGAAAGTGATTTTTTTATTAAATTGTGTCAGGCGATACTGGCTTATTTTTATATCGTATTAGTGTTACTGCCTTAGATTAAATTTCTTTGCAAGTTACATTTTTAGATTTGAAATTAAATTAGTTGGTACTACCGATAACAAAACAATCTATTTCCTACGAACTTTAAGGATATGTAGGCCTATTTTCTGTCAAAGCTGTAGTATTTACAAGTAGTAAAAAAGACTCTACAAGAAGTTTGATTAAGGTTTAAATTATTTCTTTGAAAAAAACAGGATAAATCAATTTATTTATCAATGATTCAGTTCCTTATTTTTATATTCTTGCAAAAACAATAAAATATTTTGACCATTAAATGCAAATTTGTTTTATTGACATGTCAGTACGCTTTGTGAATGAAAAATGCCAATCAAAAATGCCAGAATGTTCTTAAAGGAACTTCCTGGCTTACATTTTATAACACTATTATGCTAAAATAAGAACTAAGAATATTTTGACTTTTGAAAAAACGCTATTACAAGCAAGATCATATTAAAAGATCATATTAAAAAGGAAGGTCCTATGCAATCGAAACAGGTTTATAGAGGCTCAGTGAGGTAAGTTATCATAGAAAGTGTAGCAGTTACTCGACAGAATGTCTTTAAGCTCTTGAAGATGCTGATATTTCTTTGGATTTATTTTTAGTCTGTCTTGATAGAGAAGGTTGAAAGTGATCGGAAAATTAATTTTCTTTGGTCTTTATGGCAGAAGTTTCCAATCTTCATCAAAGTCCAGTTTGTAGAACATTGTTCCATTGGTCTTGTTCCATAGACATCGAAAGTTTATCACGGTTAGATCGCCAGCAGGAAGTCCAGGAAATATTGATGAGTATACCATTTTCAATATTTCAGAATACTTCTATACAAAAGAGTGATCCAATTCAAATACATTGTATGGTGAAAGTTTTGTTAGGGCATCCCTTGTGCATTTAATGTAATAGCTTGGAAAATGAATTTCTTTCTTTTTTAAGCTCTGTTCAATTGTGCTATGCACTGAATTGCACTCCATTTGGGTGTGATCCTTTTCCAAGAATTTCTGGTATATGTCAATATTTAACTCTATACTTAAATGAATTAGGGCATTTGACATAGCCTTATTTCGGTTCAATACATGCATCCATTTGTACATCCATCTGAATATAAAATCACAGGAAGTTTTTCCTTATTTGTTACTTCTCTTATTTTGTGAACAGTACAACTTGTAAATGTGTCAGCAGACAAATCAGCTTCTGATTCGTTAAACCAGTAACAAGTGGTATCATGAGTGGAAAGATTGTAAACATTGAAATTGTGACAGTTCAACTTGGTTATGTAGTATAGGGCACTGGCATAAAGGCAAGGACTGATTTTCACCGTTTGAATGTCCATAGTAAACACATGATGTCAAATCTCCTTTACTGTCTTACCTTCATTTAGGTTGTCTTTGTCATTAATATTTTCTTCTCTAGCTTGGTTCTTTTTTACAATGTGCCTGTCATAAGTTTCTTTGTCAATTTGATTACTTCAAACAAGCAACAAACATTGCATTTGTCTTTTTTAGGGGCAAAAGCAAAATTCAGTTCCTGAAAAATTTCTATGAATAGTTTTCTTCCTACTGGTTTGATATTTTTTTTTCATCGCTAAACTCCTTGTATACCAGGTACAGTCCAGATCGAGAAGTGTGATATTGTTCTCAGTACATTTTAGTCAATTAACTTCAGCAATCCTAGAATCAAGAATGCTTAAATTAAATTACTTAAATTAAATTAAGTTCGGCAATCCTAGAATCGAGAATCCTAAATATGGAAAGCCCTCCATTCTTAGTCTTTTTTTTTTTCTATTTTCTAATCTAAAAGTTATAGTTTTAATTTTTTTAGAGGTTATTCCTCATCATTCTGATTAGGGTCTTCATTTCGAGGGATTTCCACTTTGTTAATAATCTCAGCATAATGATAAATACCCAACTCGCAATTAAGTCTGGATTGCCAAATAAACTCCCTGCAATGGAATCATTGGCTACGTTAGACGTGTTTATCTCAATTTCTCTATTTGAATTGTATGGGATTGGAACAGAACAATATGTATGGTCTACATTTAACACCTCGAAAACACTTAAGTCACTTAAATTTAAGCTACTCTGTGATTTGTCAGTAGTTGAAGTTCATTATCAAACACTGTAACAAAATTGTTGTCACTACTGAGTTTTGAAACAATTTCAGCTTTAGGCATTACTTGGGCATTGCTCCTTTTTTCATAAATGGAATCCAGCATAATTACGTTGAGTAAATAAAGTCATAAGTAAATACTTCATAATTCATATTGTACTATCACTGAAAAACTATTTCAGTTTTCACTTGCATAGGTTGTAACTTTTTTTCAAAAACTAACGTCTTTTAAGAATAATAATCTGTTAACTAGACTTCTAAAATTCAGATTGTACTTAAAGCTATAATTCTATGATAATCAATAATAAAACAAATGATAAAACAGCTTTAATAATAGTTTCACACTATTAATAATTTTTTTTTAAAAAAAAACATTTTTTACAATTCAAACGCTATCTATCTTTTACAACTTCAGAATAAGTCAATAAAACAATTAATTTTAATAGAATATGGTCAATGAAGCATTACAAAACTCGTTAAAGTGCAACACAATTATTTATTTTAAAAATATAGTAAATAGAAAAGACACGTGCTGCTCAGATAAGCGCTGTTGTGCACAAACCTTCATATAGGCGGTACTGAGTTACATCAATTGCAGCGTGTCTCTGGTATATTTAAAGTTACGATGATATCAACAGATGCGCCACTTAGGAAGAAAAACTCTGTGTGTGTATCTCAATATCAAAAAAATTGTCACATAGGCGGTATTGCCTGCGCAACGATGATATATAAATATATATGTGTGTATATATATATATATATATATATATATATATATATATATATATATATATATATATATATATATATATATATATATATATATATACATATTTGTTGCCTTTTCCTTTTTCCATCTTACTGTTTACTTTTGCTTAATTAATATATGTTACATTTCTATGTGTTTACCAATTATATTGCTGCATGGCCTTCTACATACCTACACTACCTACTATATGGCAGGCCCAGTAAACATACAGCTTAAAAAAAAAACTGTAGGTGAGTTTTAATTTGATAAATTTCAAACTAATAATTTGCAATATGATGCATTGTAGAAAAATAATTTTATGTATATTATATTTGCATTCTTTTTAAAGCTAAATAATTAGAAGTGAAGAATATGGTTTTTAAGTTTTGTGTTTTTTGATGCAGAGGTAATTACATTGTTACAAAGTCTGTGAAATTTTTTAACCTTCCAAATAAAAAAAAAACGTGGATGAACAAAAAAGATAGATAAGTGCTATACCTCGAGATAATATTCTATATAGTCCAAATACTTTTATTTGTGAAGATCATTGACCTATAAACTATGAAAGAGTTTTAGTTTACGGAAAGTTAAGACTAAAACATCCATCATCTGTATTTTCTTGGGTAATTCCAAATCAAATTCCGACTCCACTCGCCAAACTAGACAAACTACTAAATAATTACCATCTTTAAAAAGAACTATGCCTGAAGAAATAGAGGCTTTTGTGAAAGCCTCTATTTCATTTATATTTGAAATATATATATTTCAAAGAAATAATATTTCTTCCTTTGAAGATTTATGTAGTAAAGCAATGTCTTTTTTCTTTTACAATAATATTAAATATCTAACACTGTTTACATTTTCAATCTGCTGATCCAGGGTCATATTAACACATAAATGGGGCGCTACTGCTAATGAAAATTTTCCCAAATACTTTGTTTATAGACTAAAAAACTTATAATTATAGGGCATCCATAGACCTTGTTTACTAATCTGATGTAAAAAAAAAATTCAAGTTCTTTATTGCACTTCTTCATCTACAATGTATAACAATCCTTTATAAAATTAATTACATATATAAGTACATAACCTTAATAAAGTCTGCCATTATTTTGATAGTTATAAAACACAACTTACTGCTTAGGTCTAATTTTTTTATGAACTTTTCACATTCAGTGTTGTATATTTTGATAAAGTTTGGTTTGATATCAAGTACATTGTTGAGTTTATTTTTACAGTCAATATTTTTGAAAAATGAATTTAGATCATATACTTACATCTTTTATAAAAAAAATTTTTGGTTAAGTAACTTTTTGTTGTTTTGTTTATTGTCAAATTTAATGTTCTCTAATATTGATATTCTTTTATTTTTCTGTTGAGTTCTTCAACAGATATTGTATAATGTATACTTATTTGTTGAGATATTAATTTACTTTTAATGCTAGTAGATTAATTTTCCAATTTTATTAGAAAGTTTTGTGTTTATCATTACTTAAAAAGAAAAAAAAATGAGAACTGTAAGATATTTTCATAAATTAAGCATATAAGGAGAGGACTGAGAGGAGAGACTCCATATCCTTGAA